ATTAAGTTGAAGATAATTAAATTTCCAAAAAAAAAGTAAAAAAACTCCCAAAAGCCTTTTTTTTTTTTTTTTTTTTTTTAGAAAACTGTGGCAATGTTGTGTTTACAACTTACTGAACAGGTGAAAATTACCTACAGTATAATATTCACAAACAAATTGTACAGATTCCTTATAAAGAATGTATAAACGTTTGGCTTTTTTACATGCGTTGTAGGGATGTACTAACTTTTTTTAAACCACTGCAGATAACCAAAAGCTTTTTAATTCCAAAGACCAAAAACAATAACGTAACTGGACATAAGAAAGGCTGGTGAGGATAAATGTAAGGCTGTGACATTATAATACAAATTCATTAAGACTCTATGTGGTAAAACAATAACAATAGTGTATAATTAAAATGAAAAAACATGCATGTTTTCAAAAGCATTTTATAAATTTAAATCTGATTAGGGCTGAAACGATTAATCCGAATAATCTTGATGAATTGATCATTGCAATTATCATCAACTAACTTATTAACTGATTAATTGTCAACTGGAGTAAAAAAGACTAATTGTTGAAAGAACAACACACTCAGAGCAGTAATTAAGTCAAAACTGCAAAAACAATATATACATTTTGTATTTAGGATAAAAAAAAAAACTTTGCAAATATGTTCAAGCCAGAACTTTTCAAGTAGCATAGTTTTAGCTTCACCAAGTTCAAATTGTGTAAAAAAGAAAGAAAATCTCCTTTTAAGCTACTTTTGCTATCAGTTATTGATCAGTTCAACTAAAAATATTAAACATAGCAGTCATATATTTTATTGATGCCAAGTGAAACAGAAAGGGCTGAGCTTTCCACGTGTTGATGTTAAAAGTATTTTTCAGCTGTAGCTGCATTAAATTGTTGCATTTTAGGCAATAAATTTTTATTTTTTTTATTTTAAAAAATAAACTTAATTATTTATTTGCATTTTGGGTATTTTCAGTGTTTTATCAAGTAAACTTAAGTGGTGAAATAAAAAATTTTGCAGAATGTATACTTTTTTTCCCCACTCATTCACTCAATTAATCATCAGAATAGCTGTATATGCTTTTATTTTCTCATCAAAATTATGGACTTCTTGTTTAAACTGTTCTGTTATACAAGCAATAGTCTAACAAAAAAAGCAAATAAACAAAGAATATATCATTACAATTTTTGCTATTTTAAGCTGTTTAAAAGTGTGAAAGGACAGACAATGTAACTGTCATGACACAGTTTGAAACCACTTACCTGTGCCCTGGCTCCAGCGTTGCCATATCTAAGGGATCCATTGACCTGAGCTGCAGCTTTTGTTGATACATGCTTTCCAGCTCAGCCATGGTGTGCAGATGGGCCTTTTTGAGCTCCTCCAGCTTGCTATAGTATTCCTCGTTAGAAAAGAAGATTTTACTCAGGTCGAGGTAGTCTGCTGCTGCTCTATGATGGCCGCCCCCCATGCGAGGATCTTCCTTTCCCAGATAGTCGTCATAACAGAAATCCGATCCCAAGTCCTCGTACTCCAACTGAAATCATAAAATATCACAAAAAAACAATGCAAACTCACATCACAGGTCGTTACTTGCAACATGAAAATATTTGCCTCTTATTCCAAATTAAATGAGCCTCATTTTTTAAATTGTGGGACTACATTTGCAACGTCTGAACAATGCAACCACTGAGTGACACTAAGGCTCCCGCAGGGATAAGCCCATTATCCCACTGAGACAGTGACAAGGACCAGATGGTGAAACAGAAAAAGACAGTTTAGTCTAAATAAGTTCAGCTGATGTTCAGACTTAATCAGGTGTTTGGTTTTATTACTACAACCTATAATCAGACATCAACAACCTGCATGGGGAAAAAAAGGCAGATTTAACCAGAGGACAAACAAGAGGTTGGGATTATCAACTGAATGTGACCTCTAGTAATCTATCCATGACGGAAATCCGAAAATAGTCAGGAAAACAAATTATGGAGATCAAGTGTTTTCCATGACACACATGAGGTCAGACCAGGTCCAGTCTAAGTTGTTATTAGTCTGGCATTTAAAATCACATCTTTAAATATTTAAAAAAAAAAAAAACATTCAGGTGGTACATTAGTGAGCCACTTCTGATACTATATATTGAAAAAATAATTTTACCCCTATAATAAAAGCATCCAGCTGACACATTAGTCAATTTAAGGGGATTTTAAAACCTGCAGTCAATTTACAATTTAAAACTTCAAGGACTTTTACAATTTTAGATTAGCAATAGAAACTTTTTAATGACAAATTACACTAAATACCAATTGTATTAACATTTTCCCAACGCACATACTTCCTTCTCGTAGTCCCGGTTGTCCAGGTGGCCCGTGGCCGAGTAGGGAAGAACTCTCTCCCGCTCGTATGAAGCTAACGGAGCCTTGGTGTGCGGGTCAACCGGCGTTTTCAGACACGAAGTCACCAGGACGTTCGTACGGTGAGGATTCGCCATAACGGTTGGTCAAATTTGTTAAAGTTACTTTGAAAGTTAAATTTGTTTATGTTAAATGAAGTTATCGACGACGGAGACTAGAGGAATCAAGCAGCGTAAAGTGAGCCTAGCAACGGGGAAGCTTGGTTGCGAAGGAAGTGACGACATATCAGGAAGTAATAAAACGTCAACGCAAATCTTTTTCACATTTTTAAACCAAATTTGTTTTCAGAAGTGGGTAGAGTACCCAACAATTGTACTTAAATAAAAATAGCTCCACTTCAACATATTTTTACTCTCGTAAAAGTAAAATATAGTAAGTAACTGATCAAAATTATCATTTAATATTTAAAAGTTACACACTCAACGGACCAACATTTAAAGTTAAGTGGAAATGTTGGTATTTTAAGGACCAAAATGATAATTCAAATTTAGGTAACAAAAAATAAGAAAATAAAGCACATTTAAATTTCTTCCAAATCAATTTATTTCTGTATAAAACTCATGAAACTGCAGGTGTGAGTCTTTGTCTGGTGGATTTTTGCTTGTTTTTCAATTAGCGGGTAAAGAATCCAGAAATTATTCTCAAGTAAAAGTAGCAATACTTCATAACAAAATTACTCACGTAAAAGTAAAAAGTAGAGCTCAATAAAAATACTCCTAGAAGTTTTTTTTAAAGTGAAGTAAATGTAATTGAATAAATGTAATTAGTTAATACCCAGTTCTAGTCATTAAGGAGTTTATTTGGTTATACTCAATACAATTAAATGGCTTTTACTCTTCAAACAATGCATTTTAAAATTCCACATAGAATACACCCGATGAAGTGTTTTATCCCCAGAATATTGGGGATTTTACAAAACTACTGTGAAACTAAACTCAATGAAAATATCTTTTGACATGTTTTCAAGTGTTAGGCCACCAGCACAATTTAAGCCAGTTGTGGCCTCAGTGTGGAAATTACATGTTGTAACTCATATTAACTCTATTTGAGTTATTGTAGGTAATGATGGCTGTTGGCAGATAAGGTCTTTTGAGGCAGTCTGTATTGCAACAAATTTGAATAAGCCTCTGACTGAAGACACTGTTTTCCCAAGACAGTCTCATGAAGAGGATGATCAGGGTTGTCCATGATTTCCTTAGTTTTATCAAAAAAATTCCTATTTTGCTGGTACAGATGGAAGCTTTTTATTTTTATTTTTAATTGGGGCAGGAAGATTACAAACTGATTTTTTTTAGAATACAAAGCATTCATTTTTAAATAACCACACTTTTTGCATTCTTTTCCCAGGACAAAATCGGTTTCTTGATCTGTTGATGATCAACTTGTTGTGCATGATTTATTGTGTGCGTTTGCCTTTATTCTAACATTTTAATGTTGATAAACTTAAATCTAAAATAAACATATTTGTTACCTTCAACATGCATCTGAACCTTTCAACTTTCTTTGCAAGCAGTAATAAACAAGAAACCAAGGCTGGAGTGTCAACAAAAAAAGCCTTTTTTTTATTTAAATTAGGCAAAGTAACAACTACAGATGAAATCTGAGCAAGCAGACGTTCAGGTCTTCTGATCCCTCACAGAACGAACCGACTTCATGACGCGTCACTGGGCAGACTTATCGAGTGTTCACCTGAAACACAGACAGATGAAGCATTGAACACATTTTTCAAACAACTAACAGAGGACTGACATGTTAAAGTAGGACACTAAATCTTACCACATCATCGATCTTGAGGATACTGCGGACCGTTTCTGTGGCCAGAGTTAAAGCGCTGATGGAAACCAGCAGAGGCTGAACCACCAGCTCCTCCAGGATGTTGGAGATTCCTCCCTATCAAAGCAGAAAACACGTCAGTCACGTCAGGGGTTCACAAACTTTACCCCACAAAGAGCATTAATCTCTGGCTTCAGATCCACTGTGCAAACCCACAGACAATGACACAGACTAACTGAGGCCCCCACAGCGCCCCCTGGCTGAAAAACGCTGGGTTACATCATTGAGTACAAACGCCTCTTTTGCAGCGTTGATGTCCGCTCCAGACACACGAGTCTGGAGCGGATCCGTTTGTGTAAACAGCTGCAGTAAAGCCTACTAACCTTGCGGACGTTGATGCCCGCCATCTTGTCTCCGTGTGCGTGTCTGTTCCGCAGCTCCGTCACCGTGGAGATGGGGTTGAGGCCGGCGTTCTCAGCCAGCGTTGAGGGTATGACCTCCAGAGCGTCGGCGTACGCCCGCACGCAGTAGGCCTCCATGCCCCCCAGGGAGCGCGAATACTCGGCCAGCCGCACGGCCAGCTCGATCTCTGGAGCGCCGCCTCCGGCTATCAGAGCTCTAGAGACACGAAAACAATTAACAGAAACACAAAACCAGGAGACATCTGATTATGTAGCCTTTACATAACCGTTTCTGTTAATTTGTCAAGATTTTAATTTAATTTGGTTTGTTATATTTGTGAGAATGCTCTCCAGCCAAGTTGCTGAACACAACCAGGCGTTAATAAAGGTGAGCTTTCTACTGTAATGTTCCTCTGTTTGTTACGCCCCTGCAGCAGGAAACAAAGCAGGAGCGCCTTTGTCAGAGGGGGGAAACTGAAGACCGACCAGGACTACAAATGAGAAAATAATTAAAATAAAAAGGTCTGACCTCTTCTTGACCAAGCAGCGAATCACACACAGAGCGTCGTGGATGGATCGCTCAGCCTCCTCGATCACGAGCTTGTTGGATCCCCGAACCACGATGCTTACCGTCTTCCCTGGGCTGGTGCAGCCGGTGATCTGCAACGAGAGATTAAAGGTTCACCACAAGCAGAACTCGGGTCCAACATGTTGCAAATTCAGCTGTACCAGTTTGTATTACAGAAAATTTGAAGTTAATGTATATGTTGTGATTCACCAGGTGACGAAATAAACTCCAACAATAATATTGAATCGGTTTGCAAATCTAAAAAAAAAAGATAACTTTCGCAATCCACTGCATGTAGAACACAGCACTGCACTTGTAAAGGGATAAATTATGTTAATAGTTAATAATTATGTTGTATGGCTGTTTTGCACTAATGAAACGAAAATCGTCCCGCGTTGGGCGCCATTTTGTTTGGGAGTGAAAAGTGGCTAAATCACACATCAGAATATGTGACCTGTGTGATGCAGGTGCGCCCAGAACCGTCCAACGTTGGCCCAAATGGAGCACATGTCAACAGAGCTCGGTGTGATGATTTGTTTTCTTGTTTGTCACCTTTCACTCCCCAAGAAAATGGCGCCCGACATGGAGCCATTTTCATTCAGACTTCAGTCTGAAACATGAAGGACTGTTTTAGTGATCGTACCTTGACCAGCTTCCCAGAGCCGTCCAGGTTGACCTCCTCCGCCAGCTCCGCCGTGCCGAGCATTTCTGCGGTGAAGTGGTCAATGTGGGCGATGGGCTTTGTTCCAATAGTCTGTGGCAAAAATAAAAAGACTTATCACTATTTTATAGAAGCTTCATTCAACAATGAATATGTGAAGATCGGGTTCAAAAACATTTAGGCCTCATTAGATGTATAAAAACAAAGCTAAACTAACTCTTTGGCATCATCGTCTATGTAAATAGTAGAAGAAGAATAGATGTAACTAAGTGTAAACTCCAAGGTTTATAGGAGGAGTTTGGACTCGCCTTGCAGATGAACTCGATGTCTTCCCTTTCTATTTCCTTCACCACCATGATCTTCATTTTGTTGAGGAAGTGCAGAGCGAGGTCGCTCAGGGCGTCTCTGTCACAGAACCGCTCACAGTTAGTTAATGTTGGGGAAACAAACAACATAAACCCATAAACTGTGTGTTGCTGTTTTTAACTTCTGCACCTGAGGATGGACTTCTGGATGAGCAGAACGTTGCAGCCGGCTTTCTTGATCTGCTTCACCAAGTTGAGGATGTAAGCGCGCTCCTCCCGCAGCACGCGGTCCATCTGGGCGTAGTCCGACACCACGATCTGGTTGTCCATCTGCAAACCAAAAGACAGCAGGAATAAAAAAAAAAACTCTTGTCAGGGGAGTTTTGAAATGAAGGAGAGTAATCTGAAGGTTTGCTTTATGATTACAGTATTTCATGCCAATTTAATGCATTTTTTGCTTCGATTGTGCAACAAAAAGCTATTTTATTAGCATTTATCTGCCATGTAAAGGTCATGCCAACATTTACTTTTGTGCAGTTTTGCTAATTAAAAAAATTAAAGTGTAACACCTTCATTCTGTCCAAGAGGAAAAATGTAACTCAAAACAATTTCTTTATAGAAATAGGAAAATCTAATGATGAAGTGCTGAAAAAGGAGAACATTAGAAATGCACCAATGTGGTTTTTCCTGGCCGATATAAATTTGTCTTTTTTAAATTTTTAACTCGTATCCTTAAAAAATCTGCCCTGTTAATTCCGAGGTTGGCCAACAATATTTTTTTTCATCCAGAAAGTTGCTAAATATAGTAAAAAGATGAAGTTGGCAACTTTCAATTCAATTCAAAGTAAAAAATAGTTTATGAATACCAAAGGGAAATTAAAAACATTACTGTAACTCATATCAATTCAAAATTCTTCAGTTATTGTTGATATAAATTATTAATCCCAAAAATCCTAACACTTAGAAAGAGATCTGCACACAAACTAACTTCTTTTTTTATTCAACTTAAAAACACTTTTTGATTTTTCTGTATTTGAGCTGCAAATGACCAGTAACACTCATGTAAAGGAAAATGGGCCAATTCCGATTCCTGGTCGACTGATTGATCCACTCATTGGTTAAAACTAATAATGGCTTTAATTTTTTAATCCCATTTGTATTTTTATGATTTTATTGTCATCTTAATTATGTATTTCAACCAATTTGAAATACATGTTGTGTTTCTTGTGTCACTTATGATGTTTTGTGTATGTAAAGCACTTTGTAACATTTGTTTAAAAAGTTTCTATACAAATAAAAGTATTATCTTTAAAAAGTAATTATTTTAATCTCAGCTATTTTTTATTTTTAACTCACATCAGTTTTGGGAGGGGAGAGACAGAACTGGATGAGGCCGATTTTGGCCTTCTCCACCCGGGTCACGCCGGTGTTAGCCACCCTCTGCGTTAGCACCAGCCCGTCCACCAGTTCGCAGTCATCAATG